TATTTTTTAGACAGAGTCTCAGTCTGTCACCCGGGCTGGAGTGCAGTGGCCTGATCTCAGTTCACTGCAACCTCTGCCTCCTGGATTCAAGCGATTCTCGCACTTCAGCCTCCTAAGTAGCTGGGACTACAGGTGCATGCCATTATGCCCAGCTAATTTTTTGTATTTTTAGTAAAGACAGGGCTTCATCATGTTGGCCACAAAGGTCCTGAATTCCTGGCCTCAAGTGATCCACTGGTCTTGGCCTCTCAAAATGCTGGGATTACAGGCATGAACCACTGTGCTCAGTCCTGTACGAAGTTTAGTAATTTTAAAGGAACATTTGCTGAGAAAAGTTTCAAAGTTCTAATAAGCAACCTTTTTTGTTTCCTATTAATTTTTATCAAATCAATGTAAAGAGGTAAAGAGCTAAATAATTAGGACATTACTATAATCTTAATATTTTTGTTTGAGCACCAGTGATACTATACAAAAAACTGGTTTTGTTTTGTGTTTGTATTTTTCATTTGGCTGATGAAACATGAAACTATCTTAATTCTATTATTCTCCTTCCCCACAAACCTTCTGAGATGCATTGTGTAACATTAGAGGATAGACGGGGAGGCTGAGGTCAAGCTAAGAAATGACAAAGAATAAAACTTCCAACACTAAAAACGAAAAGAAAAAAAAAAAAACTTCCAACACTAAAAAAATTCTCCTAAAGTAAGAAACTAGCTTTTTTTTTTTTTTTTTTTTTTTTTCTGGAGACAGAGTCTCACTCTGTTGCCCAGAGTGGAGTGCAGTGGTACAGCTTCTGGGCTTAAGTGATCCTCCCACCTCAGCCTCCCAAGTAGCTGGGACTACAGGCATGCACCACCACACCTGGATAATTTTTGTACTTTTGGCCAGGCTGGTATGTAACTTCTGGGCTCAAGTAATCCTCCCGTCTTAGCTCCCCAACATGCTGGGATTATAGGTGTGCACCATTGCACCTAGCCTAGAAACCAGCCTTTTAAAAATGACAGCCTGGGCTGGGTGGCTCACAGTAATCTCAGCAGTTTGTGAGGCCAAGGTGGGTGGATCTCCTGAGGTCAGGAGTTCGAGACCAGCCAGGCCAACATGATGAAACCTCATCTTTACTAAAAATACAAAAAAACTAGCTGGATGTGGTGGCACACGCCTACAGTCCTAGCTACTAAGGAGGCTAACGCAGGAGAATCACTTGAACCCGGAAGGTTGAGGTTTCTGTGAGCCAAGATCTTACCACTGCACTCCAGCCTGGGTGACAGAGTGAGACCCCTCTGCCACACACATATAAAATAATAAAAAGAAATAAAACAAAATGACAGTTAGTTGTCTCTAGACAAATATACAGACATTTAAAAATTAAGTTGAATAACTCCACATACAGACTGCCGAAGCTAGCAGTAGTAATGTCTCCTTGGTATCCTACAGTTTTAATATTTACCTCACATTTATTAATAAATATATTAAGCATATAAAGAGATCCCCTCCTTACCCATGGTTTTACTTGTCACAGTTTTAGTTACCTGTAGTCAACTGCAATCTGAAAACAGTACATGAAAATTCCAGAAATGAACAACTCCTAAGTTTTAAATTGCATGCCATTCTCCGTAGCATGATGAAATTTCGTGTCATCTTGCTCTGTCCAATCCCAGAAGTGAATCATCTCTTTATCCAGGGAATCCATACTTGTCTCCATGACCCACCTGTTAGTCACTTACTAGAGTCTTTGCCAGATCAACTTTCTCCATATCGAAGGGCTAGTGGTCAAGCAATGCTTATTTCTCGTTTTCTTTTTCTTCTTTTTTTTTTTTTCAAGCACACTTATTTAAGAATGGCCCGAAAGCACAGAGTAGTGATGCTGACAAGTTAAATATGCCAGAGAAGTCATAAAGTGTTTCCTTGACTGGGGGGCCAAGGCAGGTGGCTCATCTGAAGTCAGGACAAAGTGAGACTCTTGAAGTTGGAGTTTGAGACCAGCCTGGCCAACATGGTGGAACCCCATCTCTACTAAAAATACAAAAGTTAGTGAGGCATGGTGGCAGTGCACCTGTAATTCCTGCTACTTGGGAGGCTGAGGCAGGAGAGTCACTTGAACCTGGGAGAAGGAGGTTGCAGTGAGCCCAGATCACACCACTGTACTCCAGCCTGGGTGACGAAGTGAGACTCTGTCTCCAAAAATAGTGCTTCCTTGAAATAAAAAGGGAAAAGTTATTGATTTAATAAAAAAAGAAATCAAATAATATGTTGAGATTCTTAAGATCTAAGATGGGGACAAATCTATCTTTGAAATTGCGGATAGGGAAAAAGAAATTTTTCCGTTTTGTGTCAAACATTAAACTGCAGAAGTTCTGGCTACAGTGCTCAATGAGTGCTTAGTTAAGATGAAAAAGGCATTAAATTTGTGGGTGGAAGACATTAGCAGAAACATGTTCCAACTGATGGCCATCAGATTCAGGAGTACTGGTGGTTTCAAACATCCCTGGGGGGTAACGGGGAGATTACTGTACATATAAATTTTCCTGTATTTTACAGTAAGTTTACCTTTTTTTTTTTTTTTTTTTTGAGACGGAGTTTCACTCGTTACCCAGGCTGGAGTGCAATGGCGCGATCTTGGCTCACTGCAACCTCTGCTTCCTGGGTTCAAGCAATTCTCCTGCCTCAGCCTCCCGAGTAGCTGGGACCACAGGCATGCGCCACCATGCCCAACTAATTTTTGTATTTTTAGTAGAGACAAGGTTTCACCATGTTGACCAGAATGGTCTCGATCTCTTGACCTTGTGATCCACCCGCCTCGGCCTCCCGAAGTGCTAGGATTACAGGCATGAGCCACCATGCCCAGCCTAAGTTTACCTTTTCTTCTCTACTCTATCAACTAAAGATCAACCATTTACTATGTCTAAAACCACAGAAGTGACAAGATTTAAGCAACTGTCCATTTTTTCTATAAAATTTAATCAGATATCTATGAAAACCACTTATCCGTACTCTTTAAAAAAAAAAATTTTTTTTTAAAGACATTGTCTCACTCTATTGCCCACACTGGAGTGCAGTGGCATGATCTCAGCTCACTGTAACCTTCGCCTCCTGAGTTCAAGCTATTCTCCTGCCTCAGCCTCCTGACTAGCTGGGACTACAGGTGTGTGCCACCATGCTGGCTAATTTTTTATATTTTTAATAGAGACAGGGTTTCACCATGTTGCCTAGCCTGGTCTCGAACTCCTCAGGTGATCCCACCCACCTTGGCCTCCCAAAGTGCTGAGATTACAGGTGTGAGCCACTGCGTCCAGCCTGGTACTTTTGACTATATTCTACTAATGACAGCTGAACAGATAGCTGAATAATTATGTTTACAACTGAGAGACTGAATAATTAGAAACTATATTTACTAAAAGATCTCCCCCAACTTGTCCAGTGTGTTGCCAGTATTATTTCTCCTTCTGTCTTGTCCAGGAGATTCTAGAATGGTAGTTCTGGCATTCACCCACACCCATACCAGAAAATTTTGCTTTAGAGGTTCATGCTTCCGAGAGGCAGTCAAATACACACTAAAACCACAGGGATTTAAAGTTTGGGAAATGCACCACTTCTTTTTTTGAGATGGAATCTTACTCTGTCCACTCAGGCTGGAGTGCAGTGGCCTAATCTCGGCTCACTGCAACCTCTGCCTCCTGGGTTCCAGTGAGTCTCCTACCTTAACCTCCCGAGTAGCTGGGACTACAGGACTCATGCCAGCATGCTTGGTTTTTGTATTTTGCGTAGAAACGAGGTTTCACCATGTTGGCCCTGCTGGTCTTGAATTTCTGACCTCAGGTGATCCGCCTGCCTCGGCCTCCCAAAGTGCTGGTATTACAGGTGTGAGACATCACGCCTGACCTGTCCTGCTTCTTAAGAAGAGGCAAAGCAATGATGCTATATATTTGTAATTATGTGCCAGACTGGTAATAACTCATTATTTTGAAGGATGATCACTATAATCTGATGTAATGCTTTCAATATAAGGTACAGGTAGTATTGCTTTTTTTCAAAATATAAGTCCCTAAATGTACTTATAATGAACTAATAAATACATTTAATTCTTTAAGAAGTCATATTAATACCAGTGACAAGTTATTTTCAAGTATTTTAACTTCATTTTTCTCCTTTCCTATTATTCTCCACAAAACCTCAGAAAATGTGCACAGTCTCCCAGAAATATCCACTGTTACTGAGAGATGCCAGCAGCTGACAGTGACTTTTTAAATCTGCTTTATCTTCTTTTTGGGTGACTAGCACAGTAAGAATATTTAATGAGTTAACAGGACTAAGTAAGTAATGGCTATGTAAACATGAAATTGTTGGAATTCCAGCCTTTATTCTGTTACTCAGTATTATACCAGATTTTAAATGTTAAACTTATTAGTATCAATGGTAAATGTAAAGTTCCAGCTACTGACCGATATCACTTTTTTTTAAGAGACAGTCACTCCATCACTCAGGCTGGAATGCAACGGCTGGATCATAGCTTACTGCAACCTTGAACTCCTGGAATCAAGTGATCCTCCTGCTTCAGCATCCCAAGTAGCTGGGATTACAGGAAACAGGAAAGAGCCATCACACTTGGCCAGTATCTCTTTTTTTTTTTTTTAAGTTAGAATTGACTGCCACTGAAAGCCCTTTTTTATACACATGTGATGATTAAAAGTATATTACACAAACCCCTTTCAAAGGATCTCCAAAAGGCACTGGAATTCCAAAATATGGGTTAGTTTGGTTTAAAAAAAATAATTTAAATATAATACTAAATAAGAGCATACCAGAACTCATTACGTGCTCAGGCTTAGATGTTCCACTTCATTCTTTAAAAGAAAGTTTTTGGCTGGGCACAGTGGCTCATGCCTGTAATCTTGGCACTTTGGGAGGCCAGGGCTTTAGAAGTGCTTGAGGCCAGGAGTTAAAGGCCAGCCTGGGCAACATAGCAAGACTCCATTTCTCTGCCAAAAAAAATTTTTTTTAAAAAAAGGCTTAAAATGTACTTTAATAAGTCGATGCTGCATTACTGTTCCATTTCTCAGAAAAACTCCAAATTTTTCAGACAAATCAAACACGGTACACTGATGAAAAAAATGCACAGCGTGACTACCTGAGATAGGTGAATCTAAGAGCTACTGTCAGGCTTTCAGTATACAGCAACCCTGTTCCCAAGATTATACTAGGCCTCTCAAGAAAAGCTGTGAACAGTAACATCATAGACACAAAAGGGTCATTCCTGGGCATCCTCACCCAAGAAAAAGATGGAGGCAAGTTAACACAAGATTTTTTTTTTAAGATATACTAAAATGAAAATCTCTAAGAGAAAATGTCTTCTTTAGGACATGAAGGGGTAATATATGGGATATAACACAACCGTATGTTCGTTGCCTGTGACCTTTGTGGACTGCCTGAATTCTCCCCTGGGAGTGAATGGAGCAATGGGGCTAAGGTCACTGGGGGATGTTTGGTTTTTGTGGTGTATGTGGCAATTTCTCTGGGGCTGGGGAGTGTTAAGGATAAGAAAGCAAATGAGGCTGGGCAAAGTAGCTCGCGCCTGTAATCCCAGCACTTTGGGAGGCTGAGGAAGGTGGATCACGAGGTCAGGAGTTCAAGACTAGCCTGGACAAATGAACTCAGGAGGCGGAGGTTGCAGTGAGCCAAGATCGCACCACCGCACTCCAGCCTGGGTGAGAGAGACTGTCTCCAGGTGGGCGGGAAGCAAGCAAATGAAACAAGATCGAACAACAAAAAAAAAAAAAACCCAGAATGATCAAGATAATGAACTCTAACTGTATCCACTTTGCCATGATTTCCCCAGGCGTTCAACAATCACATCTGAGATTTCAGGAATGCACCACACAGAACTGATTAAACATTATACCACACATGGTTTGTTTATACCACCCCTCCCTTGCCCTCTGCCCCAGCATACTCCCTATAGTACAGGTAGGGTAGATCTAACTATTGGAAGGAATCCCTAACACTTTTCCAGGGTAGAATTCTGGCTAATCCAAAAAGGGTCCCTTCTTTTAAGGGTTTTGAGAAACCAGACACTGCAACTTTATTGGTATCGGCGGCGTTTGTTTGGAGCGAATTCAGCTCCAGGAGCTGCATGGTTGAATGCAGGAGGAGTTCCACCAATTGCCCCAATTCCTTCCATCGTAGCAGCCTGACCAAAGCATTCAGTTGTTGGTGGGGTCAATCTCAAAGTTCCATCCGGCATCATAGTGGCAGGTCCTGGAGGAGCTGGGGTACCAGGTGGCACAGGAGCAGGGGGCATGGCACCTCTGTTGTTTATGCCCATAGCACCTCCCATAGCCATCTGACCCATCTGAATCTCCTGCTCTCTCGCATCAAGGAAGGTTCCCTTGAATCTTTCCTGCTGTCGCAGCATCATTTCTTCTTGCTGTCGCCGCATCTCTTCCTCGCGGCGCCTGTGCTCTTCCTCCTGCCAGAGCTCCAGCTGCTTTCGTTTTTGCACCTCTTGGTTATGCAGCTCTTCCATCCTCCGAAGTTCTCCTTGGCGCCTCATCAAATCTTGTCTCATTAGCATGACATGATGCTCATGGTGTGCAGCCTCCAGCTCCATCTCTAGCCCCCTTGATGTTGCGGTCCACTTGGTCCTGCTGCTGCTTCTCCATCTCAATGAGTGCCTTCCAGCGCATGGCATATTCATACTCGAAGGAGCCAGGCTGTGCAAATCTGGGTGGCTGCTCTCGTTCCTTGTGAAATTGCTGGTTCTTTATAACCAGCTTCTCTGGAAGTCCCTCTTCATCATCTAACTGGTCCATGGGCTCCATAGCCACAGGACGAGAAAATGTGGTTAGCAGGAAGGAGCCTTCACTGCATCTGTCCAGAGCTTTCCGAGCAGCTGGCTTCCCTGAGAACTCAACAATGCCTTTTCCCGAGGGCCTTCCTCGATCATCCACAATCACTACAGCCCTCTCCACCTGGCCAAACACAGAAAAGGCTTCTTCCAGCAGTTCGTTGGACACATACTGAGGAAGGTTTCGAACTCTAAGGGATGCACTATGGCAGGCAAAGCGCACACGCAGCTGCTTTCCACGGAGTGGCATATTGTCCAGCTCTGCTAGGGTTCGTGTTTCCAAGCGGATAAAGCCAAATCCTTTATCCTTACGAATGAAGACTTCGCCTGCCTTTCCGTATTTCTCAAAGTTTCCTCATTTCTTCCTCGGTGATGTCGGGAGGAAGATTTCCCACAAAGAGACGGCTTTGTTGGGTGAAGGTCTTCTCTCCTGGTTTCCTAAAATTCTTCAGGTCAACAGTCAAGCCTTCATTTTGGCTGCTGGCCTGTTGCCCATTTGCAGGTATTGGCGGTGGTGGTGGCTGCTGCTGTTGCTGTTGGTGGTGCTGCTGCTGGTGGTGATGATGATGCTTTCTTGGAGCATGGTTTTGCTTCTCCAAGTTAAAAGTTTTATTACTCTGCATTTTTGCACCCTCAACTTCGATTGAAGACAGCAAAGTGCCTCCCAGTCCTCTCTAACCTCGACTTCTCCTCTACCGACTGATCTCTCCTCGGAGTAACAGCGACGCTACACGGCCTCTACCGTCCCGAGAAAAGCAAAAAATTTTTTTATTAGTTGGTCATAGTGGAGCATGCCAGTGGTCTTTAAAAAAGAAAAAGCAAAGGTTTTCCTTTTCCTGATTTCAAAGGAAACCATCATTATTCATTATTTAAAAGTGGAAAATACAAAAGTTCATGCAAGAAAAAAATAGCGGCCAGGAGCGGTGGCTCACGCCTGTAATCCTAGCACTTTGGGAGGCCCAGGTGGGTGGATCACCTGAGGTCAGGAGTTCAAGACCAGCCTGGCCATCATGGTGAAACCCCATCTTTAAAAAAAAAAAAAAGAAAGAAAAAAATAGCTCCATCCAGCTATCTCTTTATACATTTAGAGGCTATCTTTCAAGATTTTGTTTCCTAGAAACTGCAATTATTTTTAATTTTAGTCCTTTGCTAGCCTTTTAAGATAAAGATGTGTACAAGCAATTTTACAGAATAGAGATTTAATACATGGGATTCAATGTAACCTACCCTTTTCCTCCACCCTTCTTTCATGATAGAAGCTACTTCTAGTCTTTTTTTTTTTTTTTTTTTTTTTTTTGTCACATCTGGACTTGGCATGCAGAATTAGTGACTAAAGACAGACACACATTTATGTATGTTTAACAGAATAAAAGAAACTGGGGGCTGGGCCCGGTAGTTCATGCCTATAATCCCAGGACTTTGGGAGGTCAATGCAAGTGGATTGCTTGAGCTCAGGGTTTCCAGAACAGCCTGGGCAACATGGTGAAAACCCGTATCTACAAAAATTAGCCAGGCATGGTGGCACATGCATGTAGTCCCAGTTACTTGGGAGGCTAAGGTACGAGGATCACTTACTTAAGCACAAGAGGCAGAGGTTACAGTGAGCCAAGATCATGCCACTGCACTCCAGCTCTGGGAGACAGATTAAGACCACGTTTCAAAAAAAAATTTTCAGATAAATATTTTAATTATATTATCACACAAGTGAGCAAAATTGTATATATATACATACAACTATTTACAAATATGTAACTATACGTACAAAGACAAGAAGGGAATATACAGAAAAATACGTATTAAAAAATTGGGGCCGGGCGTTGTGGCTCATGTGTAATCCCAGCACTTTGGGAGGCTGAGGTGGGTGGATCACTTCAGATCAGAAGTTCAAGACTGGCCTGGGCAACAAAAATAACCCCAACAAAAATTGGGGTTATGTTTTTTTTCCATTATTTTACAATATACTCAACAAAACATTACAATGAGGTGGGACTATTCTAGTGCTAGACAATCTTATACAAATGAATTTGTTTAACGGTTTCTTTGTCAATATTCTTTTGTGGGTATACATCATAGTTCAGTGGTATTTTTGTTGCCTTTTCCTAAACTACCCATGGCCTGCCCCATCCTGTGAAACCCTGTCTCTACTAAAAATACAAAAATTTGCTGGGTATGGTGGTGCATGCCTTTAATCTCTGATACTATGGAGGCTGAGGCATGAGAATCGCTTGAAACTGGGGTCGGGGGGGCAGAGGTTGCAGTGAGCTGAGATGGTGCCACTGCACTCCAACCTGGGTGACAGAGCGAGACTCTGTTTCAAAACAAAACAAAACAAAAATTGGGGTTATGTTTCTTTTCCATTATCTTATAATATACTCAACAAAACATTACAATTAAATGGGACTATTTAAGTGCTAGACAATCTTATGTAAATGAATTTGTTTAACAGCTTCTTTGTCAATATCCTTTTGTGGGTATACACCATAGTTCAATGGTACTTATTCAACTCAGGGTGATAAATGTATTAGTCGAGAAGAAAAAAGTTTGTAAGCAAAATGAAAACTGCAGAATGCTTCTATTCTCTGGAATTTCAAGATATTATCACTAAGTAGTAATTGAACACAACAGATTTTTATTACAATGAACAGGACTAACTACATGGTGCCACATGATTTCTTCGTTATACAAATTTACAGATCTATGGATTTAGGAAATTAATTTACTGATTTTGGAACTTGAAAAAACACAGAAATAATCATAAAAACTTGAGACCATATATTTCAAAAGGTGTATTTTGATGAATATGCAAAAATATGATATGGTCACACCACTCATGGGGTGGGAATCTCATGGAGAGGGAATGAAAGGGGAAACTAGAGAGATTAACACACCTTTTCTTTATATATCTCTGGATTATTTTCCTTATTATAACAAGCACAGAGTTTAAAACTGTGGCCCAAAGTGAGAACTTATTTTATTATTATTATTATTGTTGTTTTGAGATGGAATCTTTTTCTGTCACTAGGCTGGAGTGCAGTGGCATGATCTCAGCTCACTGCAACCTCTGCCTCCCAGGTTCAACCAATTCACCTGCCTCAGCCTCCTAAGTAGCTGGGATTTCAGGCACCCACTACCACGCCCAGCTAATTTTTGCATTTTTAGTACAGGCGGGGTTTCACCATGTTGGCCAGAATGGTCTCAATCTCCAAACCTCCTGATCTACCTGCCTTGGCCTCTCAAAGTGCTGGGATTACAGCTGTGAGCCACCATGCCTGGCCCAAAGTCAGAACTTAATATCCCTGTTTTCCTGCTTGAATGTTGCCTTTTCCTAAACTACCCATAGCCCCACCCTGCCCCATTCTGTGCCTATAAAAACCCCAAACTCAGCTGTTAGATGGGACTATCGCTGGATATCTGAGAGAAGCAGCTTGACTTCAGAGGCACAGTTTGACAGTGTAACTTCAGAGAAGAATCCAACTGGACTTTAGAGGAAGATCACCCCACCCACCCTGTCCCATTTTCAGCTCCCCTTCTTGCTGAAAGCCATTTTGATTGGCAATAAAATCTCCTGCATTTACCATCTTTCAATTCATTCGTGTGACCTCATTTTTCCTGGATGCCAGACAGGAGCTCAGGAGCCATGAGTGAGGACACAAAAGGCTGTCACACTGGCCCTTTGCCCTTGCTGGTGGAGGGCAGCTGCCTCACATGAGAAAAGGTAAAGGGCCCACCGAGCTGTTAACACTTAAGCTGTCCACGGATGGCAGAGCTAAAAGAGCACTGTAACAGGCCCTCTGGGGCTTTAGGAGTTACAGGTGCCCCCACTTGGACACTGCTGTGGGGCCTACACAGAGTTCACTCCTGCCAGGGCTAAAGTGTCTGGTCAGTTCCTGCACCCACTCACCTGCACACTCCCTCCTGAGGTGGTGGGACTCAGCTGGTCTGAGTAGAGTTTGATCCTGCCAGACTCAGCTGGTTCCAGTGCTCATTGACTCCAGTTCCCATACTAGTTTGTTTGTGTGCTATCTTCAGTGAGGAGTTGAGACGGGTGCACTGAGTAAACTAGGCACCTCTGTCATGAATCCAGCAAAGGGGGCAGGGAAATATCCTGCTTCAGTATATAATTATGTGCATTTTAATTTCTATGTGATAAACACCTTAATGATGTACCAATCCAAAAATACTAGCATAAGTCTTCATATATATTAAAAGGAGCTTTCTTGTGTCTAGAATCCATATATGCCATATAAAAAGTAAGAAATCAGCATGCCTGATTTCAGGGTCTTAAGACTACAGACTATAGCAATATTCTAATTGAAGGTTCCTTATAGGTCCTGATGCATCAATTGTGGCAGGGAAGTCAGAAATGTGATCACAGATTTGCTAGTTTTTCTACTACTTGAATAGCAGAATAAACTCCAGGAACCTATTATTAATATCTTAAGAACATTTTTAAAGTTCAATAATTAATCATAGTTTTCTAGGTTAATATATATCTATTTTTTGACGGAGTCTCACTCTGTCACCAGGTTGCAATGCAGTGATGTGATCTCAGCTCCCTGCAACCTCCGCCTCCTGGGTTCAAGTGATTCTCCTGCCTCAGCCTCCCAAGTAGGATATGCCTACCTCAGCTTCCCAAAGTGCTGGGATTACAGGCATGAGCCACCAAGACTGGCCTCCAAGTTAACATTCTTATATTTGTTTAATATTCACTTATAAGGCTTAGTTAGTTTCCATTATTTTGTAACAGGATAGCAATATGATGTTATTTCACAGAAAAGAAAACTGAGGCAGAAAAGAATATGTATAGGCTGGGTACAGTGGCACACACCCAAATCCTAGCACTCTGGGAGACAGATACAGAGAGATCACTTGTTAGGAGTTCAAGACCAGCCTAGCCAACATGGTGAAACCTTGTCTCTACTAAATATGCAAAAATATGCACATGCCTGTAATCCCAGTTACCCAGGAGGCTGAGGCAGGAGACTGCTGGAACCCGGCAGGCAGGGGCTGCAGTGAGCCAAGATCACACCACTGCATTCCAGCCTGGGCAACAGAGCAAGACTCCATACCCCTCTACCCCCCCGCCAAAAAAAAAAACTAAAATAATAAATTTAAAGTTGGCCTGGAGCCTGTAAACACAGCTTTGTCATATTACTCAACACAAAGAGAAAGTCGGTTAATCATGTCAAACTTTTGAAACATGTATGAAAGATATGAAATAGATACGTAAATTAACTTCCTGATACACCATAGCTCTCAAACAATTCCCCACTTTTCTTTCCCAACTCTGTTCACTCTTTTCTTCCCATACCCCACCACTATACAGATAGTATAAAAGAGAATCAAGTGGGTCAATTAAATAGGACAGACAACAGAGGTGCTCTGAAGGTCCCAGGAAAACCCAAAGGAATAGCTCTGGGCAAATTCTGGAATGCTAACAATGCAGAGGCCACAAAATAGCTCAAATCAATTTAATCAATATTTAATGGGCACCTCCTATAGGCAAGATACAGTGCAGAGATATACACTATGATGAATGAGACACGATGTTTACTCTCAAATACGTTATCTACTAAGGGGATTTTAAAAAGCTATGTTAGTAAGTTCATACATATAGCTGGCCATCAAAGGAATAAGCCAACATCAGGGATATGAATGAGGGAAAGTTTCAATCCACAGGCCTTGCCTGTAAAGACAGTGGATAAGAGACATGTATCCCAAGTAGCCAGGGTTACAGG